TTCTATTTTGTATATAAACAAACCTAACCGTAATTGTTCAAACAGTTGTTTGGCAGATTTGAAGTTTGTATATCGATTGTGAAAAGTTCAGTGGCCTCGGTGGGCCTCGGCGGCGTCCATGCGTGGGTTCGAATCCCACCGAGGCTACTGAACTTTTCACAATCGATATACAATCTTCAAATCTGCCAAACAGCTATTTGAACGAATCAGAAGGAATTCTTTGCGGACTACATGCACTCCCAGCCAATCGAACAGACAACAGAAATCGGTGACTCCAACTGTGCGCTCAACTGTCAAACATTAATTTCTACTACAATAGGCGACACCGAGTTACCGTAAAACCGCGTAGCTGACGACAGTAATAGACCCCATTCGACCACCTCAGAAATAATTGCCGCCGTAAGAGTTCAAATAAAAACGGTCGCTCTTACTGACCAACACCTGTGGATCCTGATCACGCTTTGTTACGAGCCCGATTCTCAGTAGGTCTGAAAAACAACCGCACTAAAGCTGTCTTCAACGGATACCCAGGATACAATTTCAGCCACAGTTGCTAATCAGCCTTCGATGCGACGTGGGTGGATAAATTACAAGGTGATGAAAACAATATTTGGCATTGCGGTATGAAAATCCAACCGGGATATTCGGTCATATATGTTGCATTCGGTTCCCTGAATGGGAACCTCGGGATCATTGTGATCACTGGTTAGAGATACAGAGTGTTGTTATCAGTAACGCTCGTGCATCTTAATTTCTTCAAAACCTCTGTTTACTGAAATTCTCCATTTCCTCTTTCACTCTTCTGTCAACTTTCCTGTCCTCGTTCTGCTTCATTGAAATTGACGGCCAAAACACGGTAACGATAAGTGGCGCACGAAAGTGTATGGTTAAAGGTTATGCAACCTGAAACTGTAACCATTTTTCGACCACTCTTGTCGGATGGCAACATGGTGTTCTTGTTCAACAGATAAGTTAACCCATAGCTGTAAACCAACTGCTCCGTACAAAATTGCACATCCTATTGAACTGTCGGCCTTCAGTCCGTTCACATGGTATTTATGATGCGATTCCCACTTCGAATCAGGTGTCATCATCAAAAGTCGTCTCTCCGGTTAGCCCATTATCAGCTGCGCTGTATTCCCATTTGCGCACGTTATGAGTAAAACCTTGAACAGGAACTAAGGGCACCGCGAATTGGTGAATGGGATCAACAGTGGGACCAAATCAGACGTGCAATAATGCATTGGACGGGAGCTTGTGCGACTGATCTGGAACTTCATCGAAGACACTAGATCTGTCAGGATTCAGTAATCCTGATGGAACAAAAGCACAAGATTCTACTCTCCGTTCTCCAACATAGAAACCGGCGGCGTCTACTGTAATAACTTAGTAAAAACATTGAGAAATATCGCAAAGCGTGGTGAACCAAAATAGCCTATGAAGACGAAGTAACTTACGCGTCAGTTAATAATAAAAAACTGTTTCACCTGATATACAACACCAGAGGTCTTCGCACATCAGTCACTAAGACCATTTGCGATAAAAGTGAACAGTACCCACAATAAAGAATAGTGACTTGATCGCTGGCCAGAATATTTTATTGAACAGTTCAGTTGACCTACTGCTATTGCGGTCATTTCGGCAATTGCGACGGGAACTCCATTGGTAGTTATATGTGAATCTCCAACCGAATTAGAAATACGAAGCTGTGTTCAATCGGTAAAGAAAGCGAAGGCAGCGGGACTCGGTGGGCTGTTCCCCTCTCTACAATTTGGGAAGTGACTCCCGTCGTTTTCATTTACTAGCTTGCGTTGAAGCAACTCTATCTCCATATCCTGGCATGAGTCGTTGGTCGTTCCGATCATCACAAAAGTGGTAACTTCTTTGATACTTCGCCGCCTGAAACCCTCAAGGGAACTGAGTATTCGTGTACAGGTTGCGATTGCATAGACCAAATCTTCACTCTGCGTCAATCCTCCAATCGCGCTGCACACGTCATCGACCGTTAATCAGTTTTTCTCGACCTACAATGAGCTTTTAGTTCAGTTTTCCGTGAATCCCTACTGAGTGAACTGATCCCCAAAGAAATGCCACAGAAATATACAAACCTGATGCGATCTTTGTACCGGGATACTTTGGGTTACTTAAGAGTTTACGGTGGGTTAAGCAAATCGTTCGAAACCAGGAGTGTTAGTCGTCAAGGGTGCTCTATTTCACCATTCCCATTGAACCACGTCGTAGACAAAATACTGTAGAATGCATTCATTGATCTCCGAAATTTGAGTATTCAACGGGCAGCTGGAGAAGAGCTATGCGATTCGAAGTACACTGAAGAAATCTTTTATCTGTTCGAATGTGTGCAGGCTGCGCAGAACGCTCTAGACAGACTTTCAAGTTCTGTAATTCCATTTGGTATGCGCTTAAAACCTTCAAAGTGCAAATTTATGCTAAAGGGTTTAGTGTCATCTATTCTGACTATAATGCTTGATGGTCGAGAACTAATTTCAGTAGATTGTTTCTCCTACATGTGGTTGCGTGACAAATAAGGGTAGGTTAGTCGAGGAAGTTACCGCCCGCATTCCCTAGGCTTGAGCAGCGTGTGCAAGACTGAAGCATTTGGTGCAGACGTTGAGAGTCAATTTTCGCATATGCTGTACCAATGTACTGTCGTACCTGCTTTACACTTGGGAGACCGTTAATTCGCGCGTGGGAGATAGTCATCGTTCAGAAGTCTTCGACTACCAATGTTTACTTATTTTTACGCGCGCTGGATGAAACGAGCATGTAAGCAATTGTGAGGCAAATCGTCGCGTATTTGGTAGTGGATCGGTGGGTGATTTGTTAGCATATAGAATTCGGATCAGTAGGCTTTGCTGGTTAGCACAAATATTCCGCTTGCCTAGCTGCAGTCCACAGCACCCTGGCGTATTCGCAATTGCAACTCCACGTTGGAGGAAACCATGTAGAGGTCAACAGGTTTCAGTTTCAGTTTGTACAACCAATAACGACGCATATTCTTGCGCCGGTTTTGGTTGCTGTCTTTTGGCTGCCCATTTGGATGAGGAATAGGAGAAGACGGGAAAGTTGGAAGTAGAGTCGAACAGAAAATGGAAAAGTTCAGTGTTCTAAGGTTTCAAAGAAATTGAGGAGATACAAGAACACCACTGTTTACGACACCCAGCCATATCATTCAGTGTCTCTAACCATCGGTTAGGATCATCCCGAGGTCCCCAGCCAAGGAGCCTAACAGGACCCATGTGACCCAGACTCCTTGTCAGGGTTTTCATACTCGTGCCAGGTTCTGGCTTGGCCACTCTTTGCTTTTTCCACTCGGTTTCTGCTTAGGCGAACATCGCTCACCGTGGTTACCTATCAGGTGACATGCGTAACACATGCCCCAACCAACGTATTCTGTGGAGGTTGACCACTAACTCAAGTGGGTGACCGCCGATACCCAAAACTCTGCCCCTAACCTCAGCATTGCTCATCCGGCTACCCCACCACATTTGTGCAAAACTGCGTAGACAGCGGTGTTCAAACACCGACAGTCTGTCTTTATCTTGTTTTCTTAATGTCTAAGTTTCTGCACCGTATAGCAGGACTGGCCGAACTGTCGCGGCATACACTCAACCCTTCACAGACATCCGGATGTTGTGACAGCGCCACAGATGTCTCAAGTTAACAAATGCCAACCGAGCCTTCTGGATGCGAGCTGACACTGCTTCCGTGATGCCTCCACCGAGTGAGATGTAGCTGCCCAGATAAAAAAACTTATCCACCTGCTTTATTACTTTCCCAGGTAGAGTGAGACTGGGCACTGGACCAACCCAGTTTTGAAGTAACATTTTACACTTTGCAGTTGCAAAACGCATACCGAATATGGCTACACTGGTATTCAAATTATCCAGAAATGCTGCAACTTACTTGGATCTTCACTTATTAGCAGAAGGTCAACAGGTGACATGGAGATGAGCCGTAAGGAAATGCGCAGGGCGATTAGATAGCATTTGGCAGTGATCAGCGTAGTTCAATTCCTTGTAATTCACTTTACGAAGTTGACGATGACGCACAGCTGACAATTTATGTCTTTTGGTGCTACTTATCCTGAGGTCGTCTTCTGATCAGAATGTGTACGGGGAGATATGCTTATAACATCGGTTATTTTTACTGGCATAAGGTTCCTTCTGGGTTTCTGGTGTTTTAGCAGGATGAATATACATGGTGACGAAAACACTTGCCTCCGGTGCTCCGTCCGGGAGTTACTCGTAGCACGCTTCGTTTTTACGGAAAAATGGAATCAAAGGAAGTTCATAACCACTTTGTGTCAGTTATTTTCATGACTATCAAATGTGCTGTGAGTAGCCGGTCAGCAATGCGCCAAAGGCAAGTCTCTTTGGTACTTAGTGCTTTTTATGACAGTTCCTTCAAGAATTATGCGTCAAGTAAATATTCGTATCAATCCACAGAATTGTCTTTTTTGCACTTCTCAACATTTTTATCGCCAGTCGTATGTTTGTTCTCCCCGGATACTGAATGAGCCTAATGTTCCTGTTCTTGATCGTCTCTTATCTAATCTAGTCCCTCCGATACATTCTTTATTCACAGTCCGCCATTCTCCGTCAACCGTTATCAGCGGTTGCGGAATCTCTTATCCGGTAAGTTTTTCTGCTTGTCTGTCATTACTTTTCTCACGGTGCTTTGATCATTCTGGACATCCAAACTGTTTTATGTACCATCCATCCATATTTATTCGTCCCTGGATCATAGAGCTCAATCAGACCCAGATCAATTGAACAGTCAGTTGGCCCTCGTTTCTGCCTCCTGGAGTATACAACGTAAGTGGTCACTAATTGGATTAAGATGATCTGTATTTTCTGCATAAGCTCACCTAGCCATGCGTTTCACTTTTCTGACCGTACAATTGCTTTCTCACACTCTGATCCTTTGGTGTACCACAAATCTCGGGTATCACATAGCCAACCACTCGAAAAGGCAACAATTATCATATCTTCAAAGATTAATCTGTTATATACGTCACTAAGCTCCGTAATGGCTCATTTTTCCACCTTGACTGATTTCAATATTTCACTCTTTTCTTCCACTGTAACATCCAGCCAAGGTACAGCAACCAAACCGGTGCGCGAAAGTGCGAGTTGAATGTGCTTTTTAACTTGAAACTAAAACCAAACCAAGATTAACAACGGAAGAATATCCTTCTGCCAGACACATGGTTCTTTGTATACAATATGCACAATAGAAACCGGAATCCACAAAAACTAGAACGATCCATGGAATTACTAAATGAGGCATTTACGGGAGAACTGGGAGTTTGGATGTTTTGCAAATTAGGTCTTTTCTTGGATTAAATAACTGCTCTCCTATCAGTCTGTCGTCGTTGTCTGCACACAAACAAGATATCCATAAAAAAGTGATTACTGCGATCGTCTCCTGTTCCTGCATTTATTAATCGGGTTCTCTCCTCGTTCGGCTCGTTGTACGCTCGAAGACCATAGTGTGACGGCGACTGGTATTTATTTATTCTGGCCATCCTTTGATATCTCCGACTATGCGCCGTCAGAAACCCTGTTGCATCAGCCTAGCCTATCGGGGCCTTATGTGGTTCGCCACTCCAAGTTCCGGGCTTAGGTTGCCAGTTCAGACCACCGAACAGCAGGTCCTCGTGACTATGGGGTTTACCCCGTCTGCTGTTCATCACACTTAGGTGTGTAATAAAAAGCTGTGGTAGTTCATTTGCTGCTGTTTGAGTTCGAAAATTTGGTATCTTCGCTCATTGCGAATGTATCTACAATATCTACTTAGTACTCTTGTGCTTTTTGCAATTGTAAATTTATCTTCCGGCTTATTTTTTGTTCCAAGTGATACTCATTCTCCGTTGTACGGCACTGTTGTCTGCTTACATTATAGGTCGTAACGCTCTTCTTGCCTACCTCACTGCTGAAGGTGCAAGTCAAGTGATCGAACGAGTGATTGCTCTTACTCCCGAATCAAATCGTTTGAAACAACTTCCATTCCAAGCTTTCGCAACCATGATTCAGTGAGCTCACAAATATCAGTTACCATTTTCTGTCCTCCGATGTTTGACAAACCGATTGTAATTGGTCTGTGGCATATGTCTTACGTCACCTGGTTTTTCTATCCATTTGGTTTTACCAGTTCACTGACCTATCGTTCGTTCCATCCAGAATGCTCCTCTCTGATTTGTATAATGTATCGCAGATCCATCACGTTCGCTTGATAAGCAAACGATTGTTTTAAAGCTGTTCGCATTTGCACCTATCTCATGTTTACAGGGCACATTACAAGGCGGATGTGAACCCGGAAGAAGCCCGAAAAGTGATCCAGTCTGCTCTCTCCTCACTCGCCCAGATACCCGCTTCAGATATTGCTTCGTGCTTGAAAGGTCCACACGTGGAGTCACTTTTCCGATGCTGGCCGAACGAGAAGCTCCCAGAACGTAGGTTCATAGATGAATATAGATTATTTCGTCCCATTTTGTGTTTGCACCAAACATGTTCAACGTCTGATCGGCTTTCGGCGTCTCTAGTAGGTTCTCTTTATTGTAAGTTCCAATCCTACACGGTCCCTTGCCACATTTCTACCGGTTCTCCTCCCTCCATATAAAAAAGGGATTTTCTCTTTCACCATATGGTTTATCTTTTGTTCTTCTGCGATGTTTCACACCACAACTATTCTTAGTGGTTATTGGACTCTAATCTTATTGATAATACCTCACCATACTGTTTAACACACGACTAGCGTAGTATCTTTTTAGCTTTTCTTTTTACTTTATATACTACTCTTAATTCGCTATACTATTACCGTCACTGATCTACATTTTCCTACCCCCCCCCTACACAACACAGTCGTCAAATTTGTGCACGATTCTTCGCCGACGGAACGAAGCTCTATCAATCTTCAGCTGACCTCCATTTTGATCAATAGGGGGCGACTTGATTTGGCCGAACAATTAATCAAGGTACCTAATGTGCTTTTAATCCTTTTTGGTAGTTCTTATTTCGGTATATAAGTATAGCGTTCAAGATCCATATCGGATGGTACTCTGAGCCAGCTAAACTGAAGGATCTGAAGTAAAACGTAGTGTGTGGGATATTGTGTTCGCTGAGCTTGGCGTTTAGATCGCAAACGTTTCATCACCAGCCGAAGTGACATCGTCAGTGCGTTGGTGTCACTTCGGCTGGTGATGAAACGTTTGCGATCTAAACGCCAAGCTCAGCGAACACAATATCCCACACACTACGTTTTACTTCAGATCCTTCAGTTTNACCCCACAAACCAGCAACCTGAGCTACAAACCACATTCATATTCAAATCTGTTTAAAACGTAGTGTACTATAGACTTTAAGTGCAATTTAGAAAAGACCTACTGTAACTCAGAGTCATAGTTTGTGCATGAGAGAATCTTACAAGTTGTTGCTTTTCTTGTCTCATGGGGTTGAGAATAAATAGATCAACTTACGGTTCAAAGGAATATAGGGATGTCACAAATTTTCTTTGTGTCGCGCACTGCTACGGATCTTTAAATTTGAAGCTTGCCAATGTTTCATCTAGTTTGTACTTAAAAAAAATCAATT